GTACACACTGATGGAATACTTTCCGTTTCAAGCACAAGGACAACTTCCTGGATAAGAGCATTTTCGATCTTCTAAAACTGCTCCATGCCATGTTTTTTCTTTAGTTAATTTCAAACGGTCAAACCTCTGTTGTAGAGATAAACTCTCTCAGATAGACGGAAATCTGTGCTTCTTCAAATTGAAGTTGATTGACTTCAACAGGATGCGTAGTCTCGTCTTTGTTGAACATTACATGAGCCTTTTTAAAGTTCATTTTCAGTTCTACCTTAATGCAGACGTTGTTCAGCTTTCGGATTCTGTTTTGGAGTTTTTCTGGTGACCTTTGAGAGGACCAGAATATCGTTCACAAACTTCAGATTGCTTACGTAAGTCTCATTCATGTTCAATCTCTATTTTTCCCAACCGAGTGCCATGGACTGCAGGTGATATAATACTAGGGAACGGAAGTCCGTTTTCCTTGGCTGTTAGTAGCAAGAGGGACTGAAAAAATTCCGGTGCATTGTACATCTGAAATTGGCGTCCGAAACAACAACACGAATTACAGTGTACGTTTGCATTCACGCCGGAAGAATCTTCGTCGACATATATCCATATTGACTAGTTTCTTCAATCTCTTCTTACAACGCACTCGCTATAACAACGCCACACACTATGAAAGATCCTGGTTTATTTACATGGAGGTATCACTGCAATAGACTGCAGTTGCGTGAGTATCAAAATATGTTTCTACGTCAGTGTGTGTCAAACTGAGCATGAAAGGCTCGATTTTGCAGCCTGCTGCACCGCCTTATCACTCCCAGGCATTTCAAGTGTTCGGATACTATGGAGTCGTGGCCCGCTTGCATAGATGCTCTCAGTTGCAATTATTTGTTTGCTAGGATCATCGTCTTGGGCCATTTGCATATAAGCAGAAAGTCACCGGTTTGCGAGGTCCATTGCATTTGCAGCTTGTCAACATTTTCGGTAGAAAGCACTGGCTACGGCAATGTAGCAGAAATATTCGTTTCCGACAACGGGTTCACTCTACCTTGTTTCACCATGATGTTTGGTGGTTTTCTGGTCGATGGGCGGTTCGTGTGCATCGGCTCCAACACGAGAAACTAACGGGCTGAAGTAAACAGTTTGTATTTAATTGTTCCTTTAACAGAACCAACCACCTTTTCTAAATATCCACTTCTGCATAAGTGACTTGTGCCCGGAACAAAATCAAGGCATTCGTTACGTGTTCTTGCATTTAACCGTCATTGCAGGTAGAAACCAACGCTGCTGACACAGTTCAACCGTCGTTCTTGTTCTTTCGTGAGAACAACTGCTTTAATACCGGACGACAACGCTGACTTGAAGAGGCAAAGTACAGGTGGATTTTTGTGACAACGGACACTCCTTTCTTAACAAAAATATTAGATAGGTTTCTAAAACCATGCGGAGTAAGTCAATGATCATATTCAATTTTAGGTTCATCATTTCATTACCTGGAAGTGATGGAGCCGAGACTCCTAAATTGGTTAACATCTACAAGCGCTTCACCTCATACCTTCTGACTTGTGAGTTTTAAGTAGGAGGCCTTCTTTCAAAGCTGTGTTGCACACGGAAGCCATCGAATGACAACCGGCTTTCGTACTGTTCACCAGGACATTATTATCTAGGCAGCTAGGCGAAGTGGGGTGGCACAATACGTCATGAAGTCAGGTCTTGAATGAGTTATGCGCTATTCGAGGTTGTGATAAATGAGTCACAATTTGAGTTTCAACAAAGCAAATCACAGCGGTTGCAGATACGGCAACATACCGAATGGCATGGACGAGTAAGCCAACGAGTACAGCAAAACACCGAGACTCCAGCAGTCGACTTCGGGTCCCTTGTACGGAATGCCATTGATGATTTCTGGCGACGCGTAGAGCGGACTGCCGCAGAACGTGTGCAGCAAGTTAATGCCATTGAAGTAGTTGGAAAGACCAAAATCGGCGATCTACAAAAGTACAAGGATAAATGAGGACGGGGGCATGAGGACAGTTTCGCGGTTTAGCCTACCTTCGCGTTCATGTGGTCGTCGAGCAGGATATTCTCCAGCTTCAGGTCCCGATGGGCGACGTGGTGCTGAAAAACAACGACGGATCGTGAGCGGTTCGAACAGCGCCGGTCTAGTGGCAATACAAACCTTGTGGCAATAGAAGACGGCGGAGACGATCTGACGGAAGATGCGACGTACCTCATGCTCCATCAGAGGCCCCCCGTTGTTCAGATAGTCGTACAGTTCGCCTCGACTAGCGTTCTCCATCACGATGATGATCTTTTCAGCATTTTCGAACACTTCCGAGAAAGAAAACACATAGCTCAGAAAACGCCACCTTCGCCACCACCTCCTCAAACCTACCTTCCTTTATCTCGATGATGTTCGGATGCTTCAGTGCTGACATGATTCGAATTTCCCTTCGAATGCGCAGCAGATCTTGATGACTTTCGATCGCGCTTTTCTTGATGATTTTAATGGCCACCTTGATGAAAAGAAAAAGGTCAATAATAACAGCAGTTTTAGAGCATTTATGATAGTGTTTTTCTTAAAAGACTCATAAACAACGTTGGGGAGTATGTTTAAAAAAAGAAGAAGCACATAAGCTGAAAGCCTTCGAGTATCATTCATTGATGAACGATCGAGAACCCTCAGAAACCACTGAACAGAACCTTAAGACAATTTTCTCAGCCGCTAAAATCTACACAGCATGAAACCTTTACATCTAATTAAATATTTCATTAAATCTACGGTCACTTTCACTCTTCATGACCGCGTCTCCTTTCGACCGCGAATGCATATGCATCAGACCATGCTTCCAACGTTCTCACCTTCGGCAGAAGATAACCAGAATTTGAAGTAGTCTTCTTCCACATATTTGCACCAGGTTAATTTTGATCGTCCCCTTGATCTTACGCTGATCGGTTGGGCGAGCAGTGGTTGCCTCCTCTTCCTCTATGGAAGCATTCCTGACATGCATCCAAACCATCGCAGATGTGAATTCTCAATTTCAATCAAGAAGCAGTGACTGTATACCAAGGATGTCGCAGATTTCTGCACTGCAAACTCCGTTGAGACGCGTAAGGCCAGCGACTCATCTAAGAAAGCCCATTTCAGCAGCTTGTACCCGGGTTCGAAGTTTT